GGATTCTTTATAGTCTTATTCTAAAGTATATAGAGGTCTAGTAAGACCCCTCTTAATACTATATACTAGGTTTTTATCTATATCCTAGCCTATATCTAGCCTATACTACTCTAGCTAACTAAGCCTATTAATTACCTTTCCTCCTCTTAGGTTTTTATCTATATTAAAGGGGTTATATTTAATCCTATATATCTCTAGACTAGTTAAGCTTATTATTCCCTTAACCTTTTAACTTCTTAGTTTCTTTCCCTTTTTTTATTTTTATCTATATTAAAGGGAGCTATATTTAGCCTTATAAGTCTTTAGGCTAATTAAGCTTAATTATTACTATAGCCTCTTAGCTTTTATAATACCTTTACCTCCTTTTTCTTTTAAAAGTCTTTAGCTTTTATCTTTATTTACTATCTTCTTTTACTTTTAATACTCTATACTTTATCTATATAAGTTTAAAGTATATTCTATAAAGGATATTATAATAGTACTCTTAAGGTTACTTTTAATTCTTATTATTATTAGCTTATATTATATAATAAGACTTAATAAATAAATAAATATATTTTCTTTATAACTATTAGCTTTTAATAAAAGCTAAATAATAATTTTAACTATATTCTATTTAAATATTTATAGTTATTATTATTTTTTATTAATTAGTATATAATTAATAAATTATTATTTTAATTCTATTTATAATTAATAAGACTTTATATAAATAAGTAATTTAAAGCCTTATTAGCTATTAGCTAATAGCTAATAAAGGATAAAAGGTACCTTTCTTTTTCCTTTTTCTTTTCCTTTTCTTCTTTTTTTATTATTAATATTATCTTCTTTATCCTTATTAGTATATCTTCCTTCTCTTCTTCTTCTACCTCTTCCTCCCCTTTTATATTCCTTTCTCTTATATTTATAGCCTTTCCTTATTAAATCTTACTATTCTTTATTAACTAACTCTATATAGCTACTTTATAATATCTTATCTATTAACTCCTACTTTTATACTTAACTAGGAGAGGGCTTCTAGCCCCTTTACTAGTCCTTCTAGTTCCCTAGCTACTAGTATTATAGCTTCTATTTACTCTTATATATACTCTTCCTTACTCCCTATACTCCTTATATCTACTAATATGCCTTACCTAATAGTTAAGAACTTATAGGGTGTCACGTCTCCCTCTACGTCGGAGCTTCTATACAAGTCTAGGCCTGTGGTTCTAGGACGCCCTATAGGGAGTATCTTCTTCTATAATAATATAGGTATTCTACCTTAAACTACTAGTAGTATATAGAATATAAATAGCTTTAAAAAAAAATAGTAATAGCTATAGTAAGTATAGGAATAATATATACCCCCTATAT